ATTATCGTGCTCCTCTGCTTCGTCTCCAGAACTTCCAAAGTCGTTGAGCAGCTCGTCCGCGACCGTAGACATGGCGGCGGCGCTCAAAGGTGAGCCACGCGATGGCGGGTTCTGGGAGCTTCAGGAGTCCAAGCCTGTGGTATTCCGTGTCGCTGTGTGTGAGATGGAAAGAATGGAGTGCGCTAACAAATTCTTGTTCGGTTTTCCCTGACGATCAAGTCTACGGACTGCGATCACTGCGACGAGTGGTGCACTATTCACTTGGGGAAGAGTGAGGTGTGATCACGTGATGTCAGGCAAAGACTTGTAAGTGGTGAGGATGGATGTATCTGAGGTCCTGGTGACATAAGGCCGCAGGTTCCCCAAGGACTCCGACGGTCGCTTCTTGCGTTCTGGATTTCACATTCATCATGAGTTCCAAGATGCAAACATTGGCCCTTTGCAATTTGCCACAAACAAATATCTCGCGCTCTGTGCTACTAAACGCAACAGCTTATAACGCAGCAGCGATGTCGGTGGCAGGTCTGAGGTGCTAAAGTGGGTTGGTCCGTGCACTCCGCCGAGCCGCGAAGTAGGGACAAACTCTGAGCTTCCATCGTTACAACGTCCACCTCTCCATTCTTGCGTGTCATTCGAGCCATTTATTCCTGTGCCTCGCTCAGGCGCGCTGTACCACTGGCGCAGAGCTATCCCAGCTACCCTTAATCAACGTCGGCCCCGAAATTCTGACAGGAGGCAATCAGGCCAGGAACACAGCTGTGCTCGTGCCAACATGGAGACGTCTCGAGGCCCCCCGAGGGTCAAGAACAAGGGCGCCGCGCCTGTTCAAATCAGTGCCGAGCAACTCCTTCGCGAGGCAGTCGACCGCCAAGAAGTTGGCATAGAGGCACCAACCCAAAAATTCTCCGACCTTGAGGAGCTCCACGAATACCAGGGCAGGAAGCGGAAGGGATTCGAAGACTACGTGCGCCGAAATCGCGTCAATCTGAAGAACTGGACTCAATACGCGCAATGGGAACTGGAACAAAAGGAATTTGCCCGCGCTCGATCCGTCTTCGAGCGCGCCATCGATGTCCTCCCTCACAACGTCGTCCTATGGATCCGGTATATCGAGGCGGAGATGAAGTCGAGAAACATTAACCATGCGCGAAATCTGCTCGATCGGGCTGTGACCATTCTGCCGCGAGTTGATAAGCTATGGTACAAATATGTGTACATGGAGGAGATGCTGGGCAATATCCCCGGTACCCGACAGGTATTCGATCGGTGGATGCAGTGGCAGCCCGACGAGGCGGCTTGGGGTGCATATATCAAGCTGGAGAAGAGATATGGCGAGTTCGACAGAGCACGTTCCATTTTCCAGGACTTCACCGTCGTGCACCCGGAGCCTCGCAACTGGATCAAATGGGCCAAGTTTGAAGAGGAATACGGCACGAGTGAGCTGGTGCGTCAAGTGTTTGGAAGTGCTGTGGAGGCTTTGGGCGATGACTTTGTGGATGAGAGGCTCTTCATCGCCTATGCGCGGTTCGAGTCCAAGTTGAAGGAGTACGAGCGAGCCCGCGCCATTTACAAGTACGCGCTTGATCGGCTGCCGCGGTCCAAGTCGATGCTGCTGCACAAGGCCTACACGACGTTCGAAAAACAATTTGGCGACAAGGACGGAGTGGAGGATGTTGTTCTTTCGAAACGAAGACGATATTACGAAGAACAAGTCAAGGAGAACCCGAAAAACTACGACGCCTGGTTCGACTACGCCGGGCTCGAGGAATCTGGCAGAGACGCGGATCGAGTTCGAGACGTGTACGAGAGAGCAGTGGCTCAGATACCTCCGACGCAAGAAAAGCGGCACTGGCGACGATACATCTACATCTGGATATTCTACGCCATTTGGGAGGAGCTGGAGGGCAAGGACGTGGAGCGGACACGGCAAATATACAGCACGTGTCTGGGCCTGATACCACACAAGAAGTTTACCTTTGCCAAATTCTGGCTCCTGGCCGCCCACTTTGAGGTTCGACAGGGTCAGCTCACCGCGGCGCGGAAGCTGCTGGGCCGTGCAGTAGGCATGTGTCCCAAGGACAAGATTTTCAACGGCTACATCGACCTTGAGCGCAAGCTGTTTGAATTCGTGCGCTGCCGCACCCTCTACGAGAAGCACATTGAATATAACCCGGCCAACTGCCAGACCTGGATCAAGTTCGCAGAGCTGGAACGCGGTCTGGACGATCTAGACCGCACCAGGGCCATCTTTGAGCTAGCAGTCAACCAACCACAGCTGGATATGCCCGAGCTGCTCTGGAAAGCCTACATTGACTTTGAGGAAGAAGAAGGCGAGTACGACAGAACGCGCGAGCTATACGAGCGACTCCTGGAGAGGACAGACCACGTCAAGGTCTGGATCAGCTACGCGCATTTCGAAATCAATATCCCCGAAGAAGGCGACGACGACAACCAAGGCGACGAAGCAGCAGAAGACGAGGAGCTGCCCCTCAGCGAAGAAGCCAAGGCTCGTGCACGCAAGATATTCGAACGTGCGCACAAGAGCATGCGCGACAAGGATCTCAAGGAAGAGCGTGTGTCTCTTCTCAACGCGTGGCTGTCGTTTGAGCGCGAGCACGGGTCCGAGGCGGACCAGGAGAGCGTGCAGAAGCAGATGCCGCGGCGGACCAAGAAGAGACGCCGTCTGGAGGATGATTCTTACGAGGAGTACTTTGACTATATATTCCCTGCGGATGATGAGCAGGCCAAGAATCTGTACAATATCATGGCTATGGCGCAGAAGTGGAAGCAGACTGGTGGGGACTTGGCGGCTTCGTAGGATGTTTTTGTACAGCGTATAATTCTCTTTTGGGTGGGGGGGCATTTATTAAGACGTCTTCTTTCTATCGTGTTTTTGTACGCTGTGCAACGTTGAGGCCTAAATAGTCATTTGTAGACGATGGCAAGTTGGGGACTCTATACAGCTTTTCCTCTTTGTATGTGACGGAATAAGTCTCGTGAGCAATGGATTGTGCTTTGTAGGTGCCTAGGTAACACGACATGATATCGCGACACATATTCCGCAACACTGTTTGTTGTACGTAGTAGGGAAAAAAGTTATATCAACGTACTTGTCGCCCAGGCTACATACCTACATGTGTATGTACATGTTCTGTATGAGTTTGAGGGTCCAACTTGGGTATGCGACCGCCCAGGTTGGGTTTCCCTATTTAATCGCGAAACATTGTACCGGCGACGTCTACATACTCCACAGAAGCGCGATCTCTGAAACTTGGTATACATGTCGACAACCACCTGGTGTCTGAAATTTGAGGTCTAGATTGTAACACTTTTTCGGGTGTTGTGAGACGACGTCTTGGCATTCTTGAAACTCCACCAACGTGCATTATCATGTCTATCTAGGATCTACTCCGTAGGTACCTACGTATTTATACTTGCCTCGGTCCCGCTGGATCTGGCAAAAGCTTGCTTGTCTCTTCATTCATCAAAGTTCAATAACTTTATGAGACAATGTCTGTGGCACAGGCAAATGCGCCGAGTCAATCCCATACCGGGAACGGCCTGATCGCTGCGGAGGACACTCCTTTAAGTCTAAGTCGCCTTGAGTGAATCCGATGCGAGTCTAATGCAATCTTTAGGTAAATGATCAAGATGAGATCGATAATCGCCTTGCCGAGTTCTGCTTCACTGGAGATCCGACAGTACTGCGTCACGCCGTGATAGAACAGCTTAAGACTCTGCCGAGCATCAAGATGGGGTGGGCTTCAAAGACGTGGAAGTCTGGAGAACTGGCCAAGCCTATAGGATCCACTGGAAGACTCCCTGAAGCCTGCGATCCTGCAGCGCGTGGCGGATCTGGGCTTCTATTGCGGGTCGCGAGTCGCAGTGCAAAAGGCATTCCGCGATATCTGGATCCCAGAGACCTGCACTTGTGACTTGAACTAGAGTCACAATGTCACATGTGGCTATATTGGTCGGCTGCGACTCGCGAGATCGCGACCCAAAATGAAAGCTCAGATCCGCCACGTGCAGCAGGATCGGGGTCTTCAGGGAGTCCTCCAGTGGATCCTTTAGACTTGGCCAGTCCTCCACGTCTATGAAGCATTGAAGCCCATCCCCGCTCGAAGATTAAGCAGTTTGTCAAAGTAATACGGCCAACGAACATCTTGATGCTCGGCAGAGTCTTAATAAGCGGTTCTTTCACGGCGTGACGCAGAACTGTTGGATCGCCAGTGAAGCAGGACTCGGCAAGGCGATTTTCATAAGTGCAATGGCCTCCGTGCGGTTTGATCATTCACGGTCCCTATTTGGACCTTCGGGACTCACTTGTGTTCTTTCCGAACAGCATGTGTCTTGTTCTTCATTTCTGGTCATTCTTTGCGATTTCCCTCCTTCGATACAATGAAAGACTCGAAGGGGGGGATCGTAGAACGGACGAGCGTTTGCGTCGAGGAGCCGCGAGAGAAGTTCCGTAGCTGAGGCACGGGGTCCTTTGCGCGCTGTAACTTGTCCTGTGTGACCGTGTCGCCGTATGTGGCCATGGCCCGTCGCTGAGGGAGGGAGAGGGGTGCTACATACCTATGTTGGGTACGCTGTGCAGGGTTGCGGTCGGTCTCGGCGGCGAGGCGAGAATGAAAATTCCCGACACGAGGGGAGGTTGGGTGCCATGACGATGGTAAGAGGGAATGATTAGAAACGGTTCGCTGTAAAGCTCGAGCGTGAGGTTCCAAGGGATTCTGCGATTGAGGTTGGAGTTGTGAGAGGGAGAGGTTATGGGAGGACGATGTGGCGGTGTTGTTCCCCTATAAAAACTTTTTCCATTATGTACGGAGATACATAATTGCGAAAAAAGTGGACCGAGTCTTCGGCACCGACGACCGTACTGAAGTCAAGACTCGGAGCTTCATCGAGCAGGGACAGTAAAGCGACAACGCGTCTGCAAGCAGGGCAATTGCTGCTGACCTTCATAACAGCAATTAGTGACCACGATCTTCAACAAAGGCCGTGTGGCTCAATGGCAGAGCGTCTGACTACGACTTGACAGAGAAATCTGGCACTTACCCGTTATCAGAAGGTCGCAGGTTCGACCCCTGTCTCGGTCATCCCATTCATGTTTCATCTTGTTCTTCGGCCGTGTGGCTCAATGGCAGAGCGTCTGACTACGATTCGAACGAAATCAGAAGGTCGCAGGTTCGACCCCTGTCTCGGTCAAAAATAACATGTGATCGTGAATTAATTTTTTTTCCTGAGTGTTCAATCTTTTTTTGGGCGGCCGGGGAGGAGTGCACGCATCTTCTCTACATGTGGTATGTGCCTCCTTGTTCAATTTTTTCCATCCAGTCTCTCTTTTTTTCGTCTCAAACTTATCCCATTGATTAAGATTCCTTCTAAAATCAGACACAGCCTTTGACGCAACATCATTTTTTGAATATCTGTTCCTTATTTCTTCCGTGTGCACTGTGCAATGATTTGATGTGGGCCAGAAAAGTGCAGCCACAAAGAACGAATGTATCTGTTATTCCTTTAGTTCATTCTTTTCCAGTCTCTCTTTTTCTTTCCGCAAAGTCTTCGGCTTTGTGTAAAAATATGTATTGAACGCAGATAGCCTCAGCCCTGATGCCTATTGATTTAGACGGACTCGTTTCATCAGCCCTGAGCCGGCTGCCGATGCATCAAATTGATACAGGGTAGGTGTGGATGCTTCGTTGCCATGTGGCCCGGCACAAACGCCTTGTCTGATCACTGATTGGCAACTTGCAAGTTGCAAGTGATCAGTGATGTACCTATTACGGACATTTCCACCTTATTCCCAGCCGGCCAACCACATCATCAGCCACCTAGCCCCGTTGAGACAAGAACGATGGCATGTCATCCATCAGACCATCAGGGGTAAAAAACGAGGCACAACGCTTCATCAAGAGTCAAGACACCTCCAACTTGCATCATCCCAGCAACATCATCATGGCCCCTCCCACCCCCCGCGGCACGCTCGGCCGCGTCCTCGTCATAGGCGGCAACGGCTTCCTCGGCCACCACATCATCAACCAAGCCCTCTCCGACTGGACCACCGAAGCCGTCTCGTCCATCGACCTCCGCTGCGACAAGAACCGCAACCCAAGCGCAACCTACCACGAGTGCGACATCACCGATATCCCTAAACTAGCCTCTCTCTTCGAAAAGCTCTCCCCCGACGTGGTCATCCACACCGCCAGCCCCGCCGCCAGCAGCGACACCAGCGTCTCCAAAGCACTCTTCCACCGCGTCAACGTCCAAGGCACCGCCTCCGTCCTCCAAGCCTGCCAAGCCACCCCCTCCGTCAAAGCCCTCGTATACACCTCCTCCGCAAGCGTCATCTCCGACAACGAAACCGATCTCCGCAACGCAGACGAGCGCTGGCCCGTCATCCGCGGGGCCCTGCAAAAAGAATACTACTCTGAGACGAAAGCCGCTGCGGAGGAACTCGTCCTCCAGGCTAACCGCGTCGGCGAGAAGAAGAATGCCCTCCTGACGACTGCGCTTCGCCCGGCGGGTATTTTCGGAGAAGGCGATGTACAGACCCTGGCTGGGTTTCTCAAAGCATACCGCACCGGGAAAACGAATATCCAACTTGGAGATAATACGAATATCTTTGACTTTACGTACGTGGGGAATGTGGCGCATGCGCATCTTTTGGCTGCGCAGGCTCTTCTGGTTACGGCGCGGGCTAGGACTGCGCCGTTGGACCATGAGAAGGTTGATGGGGAGGTGTTTATCATAACGAATGACTCGCCGTGTTATTTTTGGGATTTTGCGCGCGCGGTCTGGAAGGCGGCGGGGCATGAGTGGCCTCTGAGCAAAAACGGGAAGGGGAATGGCTTGCAGGCCGTGTGGACGTTGAGTAAGGGGATGAGTTTGGTGTTGGGGTCGCTGAGTGGGTTTGCGTTTGGGCTGGTGGGGAAGCCGCCTACGTTTACGCGTGTGAGGGCTGTGATGGCGACGATGACGCGGTATTATAATATCACCAAGGCGAAGAGTGTGCTTGGGTATGAGCCGTTGTGGACGTTGCAGGAGGGTGTGGATAGGGGGGTGGGTTGGTTTTTGGAGCAGGAGAAGAGTGGTTGAGTGGGATGGGAGAAGACGGGATGATTACAACGTGACGGAGAGTCGAAATGGGGTGGAGGATTGAGAGGGAGAGAATATATATAATGAAATCACCCGGGATAGGGTGGATGATGAAGACGAAAAGACATTAGGGATCTGTCTGAGCAGTGAGGACTCAGGAGCGTCTCGGGTGCGGTATGTGTATGATAATGAGGGATATGAGATCCTGGCTAGTAAATAGTGTCATGGGCGAGCATCCGCGGCTGGAATTTGGGTCTGCAAACAGGAGGCGTCGAGGTATTCTTCAAACCTAGATGCGGCGGTCTAAAACTTGTACTACATGTACCTAATTAATACATTCACGTCCTACTTTTCGAGAATCACATGCAGAAACATAGGCACGTCCACTCCGGCGGCTGAACCAAGCACATACGCTCCATGAAGAGCAGCACATAGACATAGATGGCTCCTATCACGCCCGGTGAGTGTCTGTTATCCCGCATGACACGACAACTCGGCCAACTAAACACTTCTTCGCCATACAAATAATGAATCTACCCAGTATCACAGCCGCTCCCAACCAAAACACGCACACGTGAAATACCAGCTAATACCATGGTCTGATGTATGTATATCTACTTTGCATCGCTTTGCGTTGCTATGCTCTGCTCTGCTTTCTTATCTTATCTTATCTTATTCTTCTTGTCCCCCCCTCTGTCTGCTCTGACTCCATCCCATCTTACCCTCAAATACAAAAAAAACAAACAAAAGAACTCAAACGCCGTGCCTAATGCATCTTGGCTTGATCAAAAGCTCGAACCCATCGCCTCAAGTTTCACCCCCCCTTGCAAACAGGACGAATCCATCGCCCGCCCGCCCGCACGCAGCGCATCTCTTTTTCGACAAACCAAAAAAGAAAAAGAAAAACCAATCAAGAAAACAAAATAAAAAGGAGGCCTTTGTGTGAGGTGTGTAGATCAGACATCATGGATGAAATCAGAAATCTAGTCCCTGACCCGGCGGACCCGGGGCTCTCTCTCATCAAGAGGAGCAGCCAAGCCAAAGAAAAGGGTGAATCAAAAGACATTAAAAGAAGCCTTTACAAAAAGAAGAAGGACGAACAAGAGGGGAAGAAGGGTGAGAGAATGCCACCGTAGAATTGAAAATACCCCAGAACGCTCACGAATCCCCTCCGACACCTAATCCACCCCCTCGCCGACCCCACGCAGAGTTGCGCCACTCCCCGCGCTGTCCATCCGAGCTACTCAAGTGGCCATCTGAGTGGTTGAAGCGCGGGTTGTACGGACTTGAGGGAGGTTGTTCGGCCGGCCCTGGCGCGCGTTTTTGAGGCGAGTTGCCTTGCTCGTGATGAATGGAGTGAGATGACGCCCCATCTTGGACACGTCGTACTGTGCGCTCGCCTTGCCACACCGCTGGGTCTGTTTCCACGCGCTTGGGAGGGGATCGACTCGATACATCGGGCCGGTTGTACGCTTCGCTTATTTCGCCTGCGGGTGCTTGGCCACCTCGGCGGTCCTGGTATCGCTTGAGAATCTCCTTGGTGGTAACTTCGCCGCTGTTGCTATTGTTGCTAAAGATGTAGGGGTCATGGAGCAGGGTTAACAACTCATCAGGCACCTGTACGCAATGTTAGTATTCCCTTCTGTCTCTTTCTTGCATAGTATAATATTTTGCCGCAAAGGACGCGTGCACATTCCCGGATAAGGCACTCACTTGACACATCTCTTCAATATTGTTAATGAGTATCTCTACCGCGTCGATGACGTAAATAGCCTCGCCGTCGAGAGCTGGCGCTTTAGTCGCATTGGTTAAAATGTTGGGCGCAATGACAGTAGCGAGATTGCGAATGTCCATCTTGGATCCCACCTCTTCGTCAAGTTGGTGGAAAGAACCAGCCCACTTGAGAAAAGTAAACAGAATCTCGAGACAGTCTCGGTGGCTCCGGGGCAAGAGACAGCACGTCAGATGCAGGCACTGCTTTCTCCGTTCGGCATCGGGAAGTTTCGCCGCACTGGTCCAGAGTCTGTACAGCTTGTGCGTCATCAAGGGGTCAGGGAGATCGCGAAGATAACGTTTGAGGAGCGCCGCCAGCTGCACAACTGGCTGCTCCATGAAATTCACAACGTCACAGCCCTCCTGGTTAATCTTCTCCACCATCTCCTGCTGCTTCTTGATGTTGCCATTTTTACGGAACACGCCCTCGACCGACAGATCCATCTTGCGCATGGAAGCGATAATGTCATCCACGACTGCGGGAATGCGCAAGGTGCCGGGTCCGACACCGTCGGTCGAGTCGGCACCGTCTCGTTCGAGAATGATCTCAAGAGGAACGCCAAACACGCCCTTCTTCTTGACGTTCTTGCTCTTGTCGTTCTTGAACGCTTTGCCCAGGTTTTTCCAAAAAGTCGGTTGCTTCCGAGACTCGATAAATGTCAAGAGCTCGTCCAGGCTAAACTCTTGCTCAAGCAGCGGATGCATGGTCAACACGGCCAGGTGACGAACGTTGAAGGACTCGAGCCCAGAGAGCTCGGGAAAGAACTTGCGAACCATGCGCATCGGTAAGGCCTCGGCCGATCGCATGTCGGTGTCTCTACCGGCTGACTGCGTTCGTTGATGGCAAGGAGGGCGAATTCCATCCGGACCAGCATTGCGGAACAGATCTCGGCGGGCATCTTGTTCACGCTTCTCCTGCTGTTCTCGAGACTGCTCCACGGCGACGATTCGAGGAATATCGTCGAGCGTGATGGCGTCGTTTTGCCCAAACATCAAATCAGTCGAGCCTTGCAAGTCGAGTCGATTCGCCTCGTCGTCAGCACCAGACGAGCTTGGGCGCGGACCTTTGCCATCTGCGTCCATAACGCGAGAGGATCGTGCCTGGCGAACACTCGTGGACAGATGACGGTCAAGCCGGGTGCTGCGCAGTCTCCGAACCTCGTTGAGAGTCTTTTCATACGTCGATTCGCGATTGTTCTCTTTCTGTTGCTGTTCACTGGTGCCCGCATAAGACATTGATCTCGTGGTTGACGACAGAAATGGCGCTTCGCCCAGCCTGCTGCCGCTACTATTACTGCTAGACACTGCTGCTGCACCTTGTAGCGTAGTCTCGTTGG